GAAAGACCCAAGGGCTGGATGCTGGAGATGAAAGCAGAAGGGTGGATGGCTTGATGTTAATAAAAACAAAACCCAACCCAAACCCTCCAAACAACATGTCTGAGGGCAGCTGCACAAGGCTTAAAGCAAAGCAGCTCCTCACAGCATTCAGAGACCATGAGTCAGGGGCCCAAAAATCCTGGGATTGCCATGAAAAGAGTGAGGCTGGGAAAAAAATTAATTATTTAAATTTTCAGGTTTGCTTTTGGGGTTTGTGATAAATCTCCTGCTTTCGAGGTTTCCCCTGCCAAGGCTGACCTAGGGCTGGGCTGCAGGGCCAAACCTGTGCATCCTATTGTGGATACACAGAATATTGTGTATATCCTATGCACTGACCTGTCCATGGGAGCTTCCAGAGACTGGGAGCATCACTGTGCTGGCCTCTGGGAAAGATTCCACGGGCCAGGGGGGTGGCAGTGGGAGCAGAGCAGTTTGCTGGGAGAACAAGAGGGTCTTTAATATGGACTGATGGAAGGAGGTGTTTAATATGGACTGATGGAAGCGGGTACTTGGGGTTCAGGTGTCCCAGCCTGAGATGGGGCTTTCCAAAGGTTTGGCTCCCATCTCACTGCACAAGCAGAGTGGAGCCCATGTGGATTTTATTCCAACCCAGCAGCTAAAGGTGACCCCGACACCATCTGGGTTTGGGAATGTAAAGGGCTGGCTCCTTGCTGGAGCAAAGAGTTAAAACGGGATTTTTCTCCCCTTATTTTTTAATTTTTAATTTATTTGGCGGTGGCTTTGCCTCGCTCCAGTTGCCAATTTCCTACTGGTTTAATATTGGAGATTTATGACCCCTAATCCCTACCGGCCTGGGTGTGCCCTGGCCAGGCACGGTCCCTCCCCGTGGTGCTGGGGGTCCCCTCACTGCCCAGGTCACTCCCTCAGCACGTGGTTACAGAGGGATTGCTCGGTGCTTCCCCGCTCCAGGAACGGGATTTCTCCACCTTCCCGGGCAGAGGAAGGGTCTGTGAGCACCCGGGGTGGTGCTTCCCCCCGTGCCTCGTGTTTTCCTGTGGATTCAGGGTTTTTTCTCCCCCCTCCCTCTTTGCAAGCTGCCTTTTGAAAACACGTTTTTCCTTTTTTCCAGCAGCCCCTGCCAAGCTCCTCTCGACAAAGGGGGTGACTAAGTGAAGGCTCTGCAAAAGGAAGGATTTTTTTTCTTCACTTTTTTTTTTTCCAAGAAAGGGCAAAGTGAGCAGATGATCTCACCTTTCAGATGAGGATCCTGCTCCTCACCCCCATCCTCTCCCCGATGCTGGGCTGGGGGCACAGGACCCAGCACAACTCTCTGGGATCACCTGGGCAGGATCAGGCCCTGGTACAGCACAGGGGGCTCAGAATCAGGGGGGAAATGAGGTTTAAAAGCTTCAGGTTTCCTTTACCACAGCCACAATGGATGAGACACAATCACACAGAGAGTGGGGAAAAGCCCCAAAGGACAGGATGAAATGGCAGCACCCAAGTGAGTAAAGGATGCTCCCACATCACCTGGATCAGCATCACCTGCTCTAATCAAATAATCCCTTCTCCTTTTGGGCCACGGGGGAAATCTCCACCCTCAGTGGGTTCAGCAGGGATCCCCTCTGCTTCCCCAGGCTAATTTAAGTGACCCCAACCCAGTGAAACCCCTCCTCTACCCCTGGATTTCTGGGAGCTGGGTGACCCTGCGCTCCCCCACGCAGCCAAAACAAACCCAGAAAAAGCTTTTCTGCTTCTCTTCTTGCCTTCCCCCCTCCCCGAATCTCCCAGCCCGCCCTCCCTGTTTCACTCCAAATATTTGCACCAAAACCCATCTCGCAGGGAAAAAGCCCAATTTAAAATAAAAAGAAAAAAAAAACCCGCAAACCCAACAAAAACAAACAGATAAGAAAAATAAATAAGGGAAAATATCCCCTTTGAATGGCTGAATGAAGCGGGGAGCTAAAAAGCCCCATTGAGGAGCGCGGGCGGATGATAGCTCCCGATTGAGCCCGCGGGAGAAGTAACTCTGTTCAAGCTAATTAGGGCCTTTTAGGACATTCAGCACAGCGCCGGCAGCAGAACGGTGAGGAAAAGAGCCTCCTAATTGGCTTCCTGCTGGGGTGTCAGTCCCAAAGTCTTTATTATCCCTCCCTGCACCTTTTCATCCCTTTCTTCCCTTCCTCACCCCGGTGAAAGCCAGGACTGCCCCGGCACGGCACCGCTCACCCTGCTGCCTCGCCAGGCTGCTTTGCCCTTGGAAAAGCAAATTTGCCGTGGCTGTGGGGCTGGTTGGGGGTGTTGGGGACCCCTCCAGACTCAGGAGGGCTCGGCTGGGAGCACCCCAGGTCCTACACTCGCTCACCCAAACCAGCAAATGGTTTTGGCTCACTGGTGAAGCTGCAGAAGTGCTGCTGTGGGATAAAAGAGAAGAGAAAAGCTCTTTCCAGCTCCCCTAATCACTGCTCTGGGGGTATCTCTCCCCTTTTCATGGCTCCAGGGGTATCTCCTGCCCAAAAAAGCTCTTGAGCTGCTCTCATCTCCCCAGGGCCTGTTGGAGCCCAAGAGACCATTTTACAGCCTCAAACAAAACCAAGTGTGAGCTTTCAGCTGAACCCCCAACACCCCCTGGTGACACTGGACAAGCCAAGGAGCAAAACCACACCAGGGTTGCCCCTCCAGCAAAACCCAAGTGCTGCCACCACCAAAACCTCCCAATCCTCTCCCCAAGAGCGCAGGGAAAGGTGACACTGCCTGGCTGGAAACCTGCTCTGAGGGGGATGCACTTGCCTTTTTGTCCTCCCTTCCATTCTCCCAACCCCTGGGACCGACTTGGATCATGACAAGTCCGAGTTTCCTGCAGTCAAGCAACTGTTTTCTCTCCTCTTCAGAGGGCAAATGCTCCAGTGTGAGCTCAGCTCTCAAGACATGCTGGAGAATCCGGGTGGGAAAATGGGGGATGCATGTCCACATGTGGGAAATGTGTTTGTAGCTTCTTAGCCAGCAGAGAATTCACCCAACAAGGAAACCCCATGGCTTTAGTGGCCTGGGGCTCAGCCCTGCTCCCCTCCTTAATAACCCCATATATAACCTTAATAACCTTTTAGCAGCGACTTTCCCAAGTGCCATTAAACCCTTTTATCCAAGGGAAAAGGAATTCCTTGGACCTTTCCAACATGTGCTGAACCTCCAGCAGCTCCTACAAGCACGACCAGACCTTGGCACAGCCTTGCTGGATGGGGACCACAACTGCACCCCAGCCCTGGCACCTCACCCTCGCCAAGGGATACTCTCTGCTGCACAACCATTTTGCCATGTGGATAAAGGAAGGATAAATGGGAATGGAAATAAAAGATTTGCCTCCAAGGCCTTTTTCCCTCCCCTGAGCTCACGGGGGAGTATCAGAGCACAAAGCCAGTGTGGAGCATCCCTCAGCCAGCCCTGCTGGGAAGTGCCTTGTCCAGGGATGGGCTGTTAAATGGGAATTCGTTCTGCTCTTGCAAACACTTCCCAGACATGCTGAGCTGCTGTTTGAAGGAGGGAGGAGGTATCTCCACTCCTGGGTGTTTTCATGTAGATGGAATGCGATGCTTTTGCTTGATAGTTTGGTGGAAATATATATACACACAGATACAAACATCCACATGCATATATTTATATCTAGATACAGATATTAGATATCTTTTATGTATTCCTCCACTGCGGAGGGAAGGACTGGCAGGCACTGGACAGATGCTAAACCCTGCAGCATCTCATATTCCCTGGTTTTTGCACGTGTGAAGGCTCAGCTTTGAGCTAGGCTTGCCAGTGCTCAGCCCACTCCCCATCCCTGGGTGAAACCCAAAAGCTCATGGTTGGTCCTTCCTCCAGACACTTCGCTCCCCCCTCTACAGTCCATGGAGGGGGGAGATAATTTCCAACCCCTCCATAAGTTTAGCTGCATTTCTAACCATCCCCTGGCACACAGCATCTGTATTTAAGGAGATTTTTCCAGGCTGGTCCTATTCCTGACACTCAGCTCATCCCAGCAGCGTTGGCATGGCTGGCAAAGGAGGGACAGAGCAGAGCCATCCCTCCCCACCTGCCAGTGGGTGATGTCTGAGCCAAGGAGGAGAGAAGCTCCTCCTGGGGTCACCCTGGACATGTCCTGCATGGGCACTGCATGGACCCACTGGTGACCATATTGGGAATGGACCCACATTAAAAATAATCCCTGGAGCAGAGAGCTTGGGATGTGCCTGCTCCAAGCCACTGCTGCAGGGCAGAGCTGTGGAAGGATTCTCAGGACCCTGGGTACCAGCAAGGATTCCACAGTGTCCCTGGATTGTCCCAGGGCTGCACCACCTTCTGAACTGTCCCGGGATTTAAGGGGGATGGATCTGGGTGACAGGGAGCTGCTTTCTGCTCATCCCCACGGCAAAGCACATTTTTTGAAAGCTGCTGCACCTTATAAAGAGAGGGGAAATGGTGTCATTGTAACCAAGAAGACATTGGAAACACCTGGAAAATATGAGTCTCCCTGCAGACGCTAAGACAATCCCCTAATCAGGGTCCATAGTGTCCTCATCCCAATTTCCCAAGAAACACACTGCATCACCTTCTCCACCAAGCATTGCTGCCCAGGGCTGCCTCTCCAAACCTGCCAAAAATCATTCCCAAAACTGCACACGACCCAGCACAGGTAGAGCTGGGCTGCCCATGGCTGTGGCTGGGACACAGCCAGCAGCCTTTCCCTGGGCTGGGAGGGCTTGGGGACACCCCAGAGGGGGATGCTCCTCCTCTGCATCCCTTTGCCACCTCTCATCCCTGGGAAGCAGCGCTGAGAGGGAGGACTCACCATAGTCTTTCTTACAGTACTTCTTCATGTTGATCTTCAGTTTCCCCTTGGAGGCTTTGCAGTATGAGTCACAATCTGCACGGAGAGAGGGGGAGGGCAAGAAAACATTAACAAAACAAATTAGCCTTAAAATGAATAAAGGGCTGGGGGAAGGGGGGACGGCTCAAAGCTGCAGCCTGCCATGAATAAGCAGCGTGCCTGTGATATCCATCTGCCAGGCCCCGATTGGGTCGTCTAAGGGGGCATTCAGAAAACCCTTCCTTTCTAAAGAAAGCTGCTCACAAAGGAAACCATCCTCCCGCCCGCCTCCCCCAGCCCGGCTTCCCTGGGCCGCCTCTGTCTTCCTGGGAGACCCCGGGGGCCTCCCTTATTGTGCCACCCAGAGCTTTTGAGAGCCACACAAATTCTCCCTGTTCTCCAGCTCCCAACTGGAGCCTGCCCGGAGCCCACAGAGGCCCCATTGTCACCCCTAACCCGGACCAGTGTCAGCCTTTGGCATTCATTGCCGAGAGATTCGGGCTGGGGTCACCCTCCGACAATGCGGGTCAGAGAGGAAATTAGCAGCCCATGAAGCATTAGCAAAGCCTTTTGGTGTCCACTCTACTGAAGTGTGCAAATAAAATGCCCCAGTAGGAACAT